CTAACAAAAAAATAATTGTTAATAAAATATTAAATGCATGAATAAATTAATAGATGATTAATGATTATCGCATAGAGTATATGCTAGATGAGCATGATCAAACAGTAATATTGCAACATTTTAATCCGACCATGGTGCCTTATCGGCGGGCAGGTATGCTTTCCAGAATGTCAATGAACGGGGGCAAAATTGATTTGTATCGTGTTTGATTGGTGATGTCCCGGGTCCATGTTTTGGGTACCCGTAGGATCTTTTGACATTGATCAGTGTCCCGACGGTACTGGGTACAAATATGACCTATCATTTGCCCGGTGTAGCCTTCCAGGAGCTCATCGATAAGTACCACGCTGTTTTCCCGACAATCTGGCGAGGTGCTTTCCGATGCCTCGTGCGATACACACTCTTCAAACTTGTAATAATTGCTATTTAATTAAATAAATAAAATTTTTGATTACAATTTTAATTATGGTAAATTTACAAATAAATTAGATTATGTGTAATTTTATTATTAATATTAACTGAACATAGCCAAATAACAATTTCATAATTTTGCAGATGTAATTTAAAATAAAATTACACAATACGTATACAGTTTGTTATATGTGAATGCAATAAAATTTAGCGTAATTAATTATATAAGTTATTACTGTATTCTGTTGGCATATTAACAAATTATAAATTAACAAATTACCTTGACTATTAATGTTAATTTTATCAAATTTATTACTATTTGTTTCATGCGTCTCTCTCTCTCTCTCTCTCTCTCTCTCTCTCTCTCTCATATTTTCAACAAAGTAATATCAAAAATAAATCACATGATCATCTCACAAAAATAATGGTTAATTATAACTGACATACACTACATTATTTTTTTGTAAAATTATTTCCTGGTATAACTATACCTCTCTGTTCAGACATTTACTAAAATTCAATGTTAAAACATTTAAACCTAGATCTTTCTTATCGTTTGCTAAATCATAGCGTAAATTGTGTGGAAAATCCAAACTTTATGTTAAATCTACTTATAATCCCTGGCCTTAAGAGATATACAGTGTATATGTGAAGTGAAAGTCGTAAAAAGTTACCATATATTGAGAGAGAAAGTCTAATGTCCTAATTAATCAATATATGGCTTGTGGTTAATGCTGCTTATCTATATTGAAATATGGTAATTCCAATAGGTTTGCAATTTTAAGCGACCTTTCTCATTGATATATAATGTTGGGTTTTTCTAATACAGCGTTTACTAATGATTGTTATATAATAAGCTAAAAATAAAACAAATATCACGGAAACAATCGGGACGTATTCATTAATACAATCCTAAATTTACAATGATTATTTCAAAATACCTTATTAATTTATTTACAATTTACTTTAAGAATACTGTAAATATAAATTATACCATTATTCAAATTAGTAAAAATATTTGTAAAAGTACTATAATGGTTAATTAATTCATTGATATTATAACATATTAATTAGTAATTTTAAGCTTATAATTTATCCTAGCATAAATTATATATTTTTAATAAAACTATAAAGTACATATTAAATCTAAACATACCAGCAAATGAGCCCAATTTTAAGCTTGGTGGGTGCGTTAACAGTGACCATAGCCTCGTCGATGAGCTTGTTCATACATTGAGTGGCCTGGGGTTTAATAGCGTTCAGACACTTGGCCATCGAGACGATGTCCTTTTTACCCCGATTAAAGTTACAGTAGTACTTGTTTTTACGGATCACGCCGTACATCAACAACGTGGTCACCTGATAGGGGAACGCCTTTAGGCACCGCTTGGCGTATTGCTTCACGTAATGCTCTTTTTGATTCTTCTCGCTAAACAAATTAATTTATAAAATGTTATTTATAATCGTAATAAATGTTTGTGATGTTAAATGATTTATGTTGTATAACAATATTAAATTTTTATGCAAAATAAACCTATTCAATTTCAGCTAAAAATAGTTATGTAACTAATTATTGATTTTTAAAAAACTGTAAAAATAATTATCTTTGTTAGTTAATATGGTTATTTTGTGATAATAGAATTTTATTTGGATATCAGTGAACATATGATTATAAATTTTGGTACACTTACAGACAAAATTGAGATCGCTCGGTTTCCGTCTCAGGTATATTGCGTAGGGGGTCATTGAGAAAGAATAGCCACCTGGTCGTTTCGTCCATTGTTTTCGGGTCACATTCAATACCATTAGACTGTTTTGTGGCATTGGTTGAGCTCACTATGTAAAGTGCATGGATCAATTTATTAATTAGTATAACAACATAATATGTGATATAAACAAGTTAATGTGAAAAAACTTACCAATCATCAGCGTGACAGTCACCAAGCACAAAATGTTTAGATTCATTGTGATTTTCATAGTGATTAAATATTTATATTTTAATTTTAAAAAGGCCGAGAACAGTTCAGTCCAAATTATTAATTTGTTATTACGATTGTGATATAAAATTAGTCAATTGAGTTTGATTACAGTTTGTAAACTTCAATTACTTTGAGCACAATTTGAATTGAATGTACTTCTCGTACAATTTGCTGGGTTTGGCTGAAGTGGTGGACGAGTTGTCAGTATTATTATCACTGGATTTGCAATTAATTAAACAATTCTTGCGATTCTTGTTATTATTCTTCTTTGACTTATCGTTATTTTGTTTCTCTTGCTGTGAATGCGAACGAAATTGCGATAACTTTCTGGCGTTCATCACAAATACCCGGCTATTTATATACACCACACGGCAGACAAACAAAACAAAATATTTCACACTTGGTTAGAAATATTTTCTAATTATATGTATATTAGTTACACAGACTATGGGAATCAATCAATTATTGATTGTATTTTCTATACATGTATGATATGTCGCACTGGTATACGAAATGATAATTTATTAACCGTTTATAAATAAGTGTTTATTTATGGCCAGACCTTCAAAGCACAGGTTCTCTCTCTCTCTCTCTCTCTAAAAATCAATTTCTCTTTCTAATAGATGTTTATCGATAAGATATCTATAAATAAATACTAAATTATTGGGAATTTTTCATGAAAAACATGTCAATCACTGATCATGTTATTTATTTAAAAAATATACCGCACCTAACTAAACAGTATTTACATCTTGATGATTAATCTCTCTTTGTGTGTTATCATGGCAAAATTTTTCAAAGGGTTATTTCACGTGGTTATTTTAAACAACATTATTTTAGTATTAAAATTGTTTTTATTTTATCAAAATATTTACATAGAAATGTTTTTAACACTTGTTTTTCATAACAAATACTTATTATTATTTAAAAATTTTATTTTTTTTGTCAAATAATTTACGTAAAAACATATTTTTTTAAAAAGAATTAATAAAAAATAAAATAATTTATTTAAAAATTATATCCAAAAATGGAAAATATATTTACATTTCTCATTAAATTTTGTTGGAAAAACAAATATAATATTTGAACAAACTAACATGTTCATTGTTATTTTATATTCACAATATATAATACAATAATCAATTATAACCATTACTATTTAAACAGAAAACCATTAATGTTGATTAGTTATACTACAAACAATACTTATACTACAAACAAAAATAAATTGTTAAAGTAAACTAACAAGGGTAGTTTTAAAAACAAATATATTTTTACTAACAAAAAAATAATTGTTAATAAAATATTAAATGCATGAATAAATTAATAGATGATTAATGATTATCGCATAGAGTATATGCTAGATGAGCATGATCAAACAGTAATATTGCAACATTTTAATCC